ATTGAGAAAATCAGGAGTTGAATTTAAATTTAAAATTTACACTAAAGAACACTCAATTTTCTCCGAGTATGGCTAAGTACAATTTTTTCAAAGCTTGTCACTTCATTAATATTGCTGTAGGCAAGGCACTCTCGATGTAAAGTGGTATATCTACATCCACAACATTAGCCATTACACACTCCATTGTTAGATCCAAAGTAAATATTACTTATCCAAGTTGAGTCCCTCCCAATGCATAAAAAATGCTTGGTTTTGAACAATGCCAAGAGCCTGTAAGGTAGCCAAGCACAACGAAATAGATTAAAAGAAATTGTTCTATTTTTACTCTAAATATTACCTCTGACAGAGTTGCACCTTCGACATTGAAGAGAAATGGTCTAGGTATGTCTTCAATATTTTTTCACCAATAGCTGGCATAATCCTACAAAAACACAATTTATGAAGAATTCTATAACATTACCAAAATTCTTACCCAAGCTCTCATTCCATTGGTTAAAATAAGTTTGCAGGAACATGAGATGGTCTGAAGTAATCACCACATGGATACAAATAGACTTCATGGAGGTTCCAGATTGCAACCCAGTGCAAAATATCCTTCTTAAGGTATGGAGCAAAGAGACTTTGGTTGTGCCATAAATTAAATACATCAAAAAAATTTATGTCTTCCATGGACTCAAAAAGGTGCTTATAAAACCACACCACACACTCAAAGAGCTCTTTCCACAAATGCTTTATACACTGCAAAATAAATTCGATTTAATCCTTATTTGGAAAAACTTTAACGTTGTGAGTACCTAGTTATATGTTGATGTCCCACGTATAAAGCTCCTAGCTGTAGGACCCCAACAGCGGACCATATCCCTCTTAACCTCATTGTGCTCTAGAGCATTGTCACTCCGGATGTGCTTGGGCTTTCTAAATTGACGAATAGCCTATGCATATGTGTTGAATATTGCATGGGATTCTTTGGAGGTAATCAACTCACAAGCTACAATATAATGAGTTGCCCCACAAATAATGGCATATACATAAAAACCATAGCTTACAAGCTTGCAATATGCTACAATAAACATGTTATTACATGTGCTCACAAAAAAGTAGAAATGAAAGAATACTCACAATTTATATGACAAAGTGTATAATCCTCCTCGTTTCTGTAAATTTGTTGTCAAATCCTTGTCATATGCCTCTATTCCAACTTAGTTGGATCATGAATGGCTAAGGCCTCATGAATTTGGTGTTGGCTAAACTAATATCCTCTAGTTCAATAGTTAGATCGGGAATTGATAATCCCCCAATTTGTGCCACCTCAATTCATGGCATTGTTAGTCTAAACGTGATGAAGTACCTCTTCAGGTTATACTCTATAGTATATACCTCTCCAATTTGGATTGACAAGCTACATATATTTGTATAGTGTTGGCTTTAAAATTCTAGGATAGCATGCGAGGTAAGTAGTAGTCTTAATCTTGAGGATCTTCAGATGCATCTAGGTGCCAAATGTAGTCGGACTACCAAATCCCCTGGATTGCAAAAAATTATGGAAGGCCTAGAAATGTGCAAATCATGAATTTAAAAAGCTGGAAACTAAACAAACTTCTAGGAGAGCATTGTTGTCATTATCCACACTTGAACCACAATCCAAATCACTAAAATTGGATGGAAGGCCATCTATCTCCTCTTCCTCCATATCTTCCAGTAAACCTGGAAGAAAAAATTTCAACAACACAAATTTGAAGTAAATTAGGGAGGGAATTATACTCATGATAGGAATTTCAAAGTCCATAGAGAGCAATTTAGTAGTAAATCAAAACCACTTTCAACACTGCCCACAAAAACATTTGAAACCAATCACTAGCAAACCAAATTACCTTCCACAACTGCTGCTAAGAAACATGCCAAATAATAGAGCACTAAAGTAGGGTGCAACCTAATGAATCCCTATGTCATGGGGTCAAATTTGATGATATGTGGCATCTATATATAGCACAATGTTCATATTATAGGGATATCATCAACCCATTGGGCCAGCATCCATGGGGCATCCATGAGGCATCCAAATGACATTTAATGCCAAACTAATAGAAAACTATCACATGGACACTCTATTGTGAGTGAAATTCACCACAGTAACATCCACCTTTTTACAAATTGCACACTATACCATTTTATCCTCATGAGTTTGGTTTTTTTCTCTCTCTCTTTCTCTCTCTCTCTCTCTCTCTCTCTC